CAAAAGATTTATAGAAGTAGTAAATAGAGAAAAAAAAACTTTTACTTTCAACTGAATTAGTATATGAGTAATATAAATACCATAACTATTTATCTCAATAAAACACTTTACCAAACAAATAAATCCAATCAAACAAATAAACTCAATTANTTTAGATAAAATAAAAACATAAATAATNANTAAANGGAATGCAAANTGGAAACATTTAAAAAAAACAATAAACTTATTTAAAACTACTCAATTTTTGTCCATATAATTTAATACAACGTAGTCAACTATTTACATTCCCACTAATAACTATCCAATATAGTATACTATACTTCAAACTACTTCATTTCTACCTATAAGCTAAAAACAAAAACNATCATATTATTTCAAACTAATCAATTCCACCTACAAACTAAAAACATACATATCTAAAATTAGAACATATTATATACGACATAATATAAAAACTAATATAGTTTACAGTATATACAACAAATGTTCCCGCACATAGTGTCCGGGTGAGAATCTAGGACAATTTATTTCTTTAATCCTAGTATTTTTTTTTTTTCGCTAGGAATCATATACGGAAAATGAGAGAGTCCAAACTAATATATTAATCAATATATAAATATGGATCAATTTACAAGTTTTACAACGAATCATATCCTCAGTCGTCTTCTCATTTTTTAACTTCACCTGTAAAAGTAAAAGAAAGCTTTTAAGTTGATCTTATACGTAGTTTTCAAAGGAAGTCTTATCATGTTTAGTTTATTCATCTCTTAGTGAGAACGATCATGTTTCCTCTTATCGCCTTTTGACAAGTCTGGATCAGCTCCATGCTGCAAGACACAAGAATCCCCAAAAAAAAAGTCTCAAATGGGTTATACATCAACATGTATGTATATCGATATACTTTCTCCAGATCTGTTATCATACCTCTTTGTTTGTCTTGGATTCTCCGTTTTCTACCTGTGGAAGATCACCAATCGTGTCTCTCACAGTGATTGAGCGGAATGGTGCACCTTTTTGTGTACTACGAACAGCAGCATAATGTAAGCCTTGAGATAGCGAGATTTTCAACTTGGGGACGCGAAAGACATGCATTGGCTCAGGCCGTTCGGGAAGAACTTCTTCTGGTGCAGCTGCCCAAATAAAAGCTCTTTTACGAGACTGGGAAACTCCATATGCACCAGCCTCCAAGATTCCGAATCCCACCTGGAGAACATCATATTAAACAAATGTTGAATTCAATTTCACGGACTGTGCATTTTGAAAACCATGGCTCACATGGCAAGCCAACTTCTACTAAAGAGCAAGTAAGTGTGGAACACAGAGAGAGAGCATGAGACAAAATAATGATTTTACCTGCTAACCCATCTCGAGAAGAGAAGCCAGAGTAATTATGAATGTTATCCCATGTAGGACAAAGATCGTAAATTATTAAGAATTACTAACCAGTAAAATGTCATTCTTGCTCATGTCTCTATGTTCTTCACCATTTTTTCCCGGGAAATTCAGAAAAGGAGTTGCATTTTACAGGTAAACCTCAACAAAACCAAGTTACGTTTTCGTACATTATTATTTATTGCTACTACTATTTAACTTGGCTTTGTAGAAGAGGTTCATTGTTTAAACGCCGCTAAGCTGATCCCAAGCACGAGCCAGACTTGGCCTACCGTGACTAGCAGGACCACTACTGTGAGTCTGTTGGAAGAGAATAAGAGAAAGAAAAAACTGAAAAAACTTCTCTTTATTTCTCAACGACTTTTCATGACTACAATATGTACACTTATATATATATGTTTACATAACGTAACCGCTGCTAACAGTTTTATCTTGTCCAACAAGTTATGTCTCTTAGACACACCCTTTCGGAATGTCACGAGTAACACATAACATCTGTTGACTTTCCATACAAACAATAACATATGATATCAAACGATTTAATCATAGACTCAATTCTCAACACTCCCTCTTGAGTCCTTTGATTAAATCCCCAATTTCATTTGCATCGCTCTTTCTTTGCCTTTGATGATTTGCCTCTTCTCTATTCAAATCCCTTTCACAACGATGACATAATTCATTTGTAAGCTTGCCTTTTCTGTCTCCCTCTTGATCGATCTTCCTTAATCGAACTCAAGTCTTTCTCCTTCTTAGCTTCTGTTTTGCAATTGACAACCTCCTTGTCAATTCTTTCTTCTTTAGACATTGGAACTCGTGGGTTTTCTCTTCCGTGAGCCTTCTCCATGTCTTCATCAAGTCTCTCATGGACTTTCCTCACGTCTCTTTGACGTACCTTCTTCGGTTATCTTTGTAACCGACTCCCATTTCAGACATTGGAACTCTTGGATTTTCTCTTACCCGCGAGCTTTCTCCATGTCTCCTTCAAGTCTCTCGTGGACTTGTCTCACGTCTCCTTCGGTTAAACTTAACGCATTCCCACTTGAACCGTTCAGAGGTTTAACTCTTTCTCATTGAGTTTTACTCACCGAGTTAAACTTAACGCGTTCATGCTTGAACCGTTCAGAGGTTTAACTCTTTCTTATTCAACTTGATGTCTTCCTTTGATCACCATCACATCTGTGTCTTGTGCGTGAATCTTCTCCGTCACGTCTTCTTCGGTTATTTCCGTAACCGGCTTCTTTGCGTGAATCTCTTCTCCACGTCTTCTTCTGCTTCCTGTTTTCTCTTAGGTAAGCATCATATTTCCTTGCTTGGTGTCTTCCTTATCACCAGCCTCAGCTTTCTCCATCTTGTTTAAGATGGCGAACTATTCGAATTCTCAACTTCATCAACTAATGGCTTCTTCGCATCCTTGTGCTTCACCAAAACGTTGTCGAATAAAGTTCTAGGATTCTCCGTCCACAACTCCATCTCCACAACCATTGTCTCCATCGCCTTTTGAGAAAATTTCCTATTTCCTTCATCGCTTTTGGAGCCTTCTTCTTGATGGTATGGCTTGTGAATGGTTGTGAAGGTTGATGGTGCTCTGTCTTGTCACCACCATCTACTTTTCTCCAGTTTTTTTTTAACCGTTGATTGTCGCCTCCATCTTTCTCGTAGCCTTTAATCTCTTAATTGATTTCCAAAATCAATTAACTTGTTCAAAGGCACTAAAAAAGGCGTCGTTAATGTCCCCATAACACATTCGAGTCACGTGCCCTCGTATGGCTCTTACTCTTCACGTAACTCGAAGACGACGTCGTTAACGACACACTCGGTCGACCCGACTCCTCCCCATCGTTACCCGACCCGGTTCCCTCGCCGGTGACTCTTGTCCAATCTGGTTTCATGAGAACATTCGTTTCATCTTCGTTCGT